ATCAACTCCTATACGTAGAATAATAAACACTTCGACCTGAGAGGTTGAAGAATCGACTCCTATGCGTAGAGTAATAAACATTTCCAATCAAAAAATAGAACAATCAATTTCTGTACGTAGAATGATCAACCTTTTCAACGTAAGAGTGGAAATATCAACCCCTGTACGATGAACAATGAACTTCTTTCAAGAAAAGAGAGGTAGAATCAACCCTCAACCGACGAAGGAACTATCCCTGGAGATGCAAAGGTAGATAAGTCGATATCCGTCGGTAAAATAAAAACCCCTGTCAATGAAGAGGCATAGAATAGAGCCTTCACGTACAATACTAAACCTTTTTTGTTATGAGGTAGATGAATCAACTGTTGAACGTGGAATACTGAACCCTTCGCAGGAAATGGTAACATAATCTACCCTTAGGCGTACAATAATGAACTGTTTCTGAGAAGGGTAGCATACTCTACCCAGAAAGGCAGAGTGATATACCCTCTTAACGAAAAAGTAGAATAGTAAACCCGAAAACGAATAATAAAATACCCCTACCTTGAAAGCGAACAACAATCTACTATGATTCGTTGAAATATATACTCTTACCTTAAAATCGTAGAATGATGAACCCTTATGTACCCATCATATACCCGTTGAGTTTTCATAAACCCGTAGCTTCATAAACCCTTCGACTAATAAACGCTAAAAGGGTTCATCACATTTGAATAAACCCTTCAACGGTTTATTGGAGAATTTTTTAAGTGCAGGGGTAGATCATTACTCGGATTTTTTTATCACTGTACCTACTATCCCCAGACGTGATGTACGTCGACGACCCTTTTTTTTTCACGTCTTCAATTTTTATTATGTCGAGAAAAGCTCCGAAACACACAATATATGGTCAAATCCCCCCAAAAAAGTCAATTAAACACATAAAATCATTAATGTTTCTCACACAAACATAAGTGACCATTAAAATAATCACCACGAATAAAAATAAGAGAACCCCCAAAACCACGACCAAAACCAGAAGGACCAAGACCTCCACTAGCAAGACCACAACCAGCAATAATGCCACCAATAGCACCACTACCACCA